CCTGGCGTGTCTGGAGGATGGGGTGCGGGGTCCTTGCTCACACCTATTCTCTGTTAATAGGCAGCATTGCTGTGGGAATGGCCCCTCTCGCTCCCCATGGTGAAGCTCTGAGCACCAGATCGGGCCAGTTGTTCTCCCTGCTGAGAGGGGCTGAGCCCTCTTCCATCCCCCTCTGTCACCCCCAGTGTATCACAGGTCTTGGGATTTCCACCTGGCCCCCATCCCTCCCTGCTCCTCTGCCCACGTTTATCCCTAGCTGGGATGCCAGGACCATTAAAAAGGCCGCAGGCTGTAGCAGAGCTGCGGCTGCTGCCCGGAGCCAGGCTGCAGCGGCTGCTGCATTATTTACAGCTGCCCTTGGCCACTCGCTGCCTTCTCCAGCAGCTCGGCTCCGGCTGTGCTGGGGGATGCTGCTCGCTGTCTGCTTGTTCCTGCACCGAAAGCCTGGAATAGTTTTGCCCTAAACGGTTGCCATCTGGCATCCGATCTCTGTACCAGCAGCGTACCTGGCGTACCTGCCAGCTCCGGACAGACCCGACGCCAATGGTACAGCTAACCCTTGCTAAACCTTTTGAAGATCTGCACTGATTTTAAATTGCTTCTAATACTGGCAGCAGTTCCGAGCTGGAGCACAGAGGGTAAAGCCCTGGGCCATATGGCAGAACTGTACGCAGGCTGCAGTTCTCCATGCTGGGTCCATGAAGGACTTCAGCCGTGAAGGCCTGGGTCATTCCGCTGCCTTGAATGTCGCTCTCAGCCAGGCTGGCACCCTCTGTCCAGCCCTTGTCGCTTCAGCCAGACGTTACTGCTGCCAAAGCAAGGGCAGTCGTTACTGGGCCATGAAACGCCGCCTCCCTGGGCGCTCCGTGTCTGAGCAGCTTCGCAGTGGTCTGGAAGTACAGCATCTGTTTGCCCTTGCTGGGGACATCTGATGTGTTAACGTGGTCCAAATGGCATCTTCCAAGGTGACCAGCTGCTCGCTGAGCACAGATGTGCCAGGCTGAGGGAGCAGAGATGCACATCGCGGTGGATCCGGTGCCGGACAGCGCTGCCCGCTCTGCTTTTGTCCCCGGCGTTGGTCCCCACTCGCCCTGGCAACGCTGCGAGCTCTGTCTGAGGTGCAGACCAGCGTGCGAGGCTGGAGCTGCCATATGCTCCCCATAAAAACACTTCTTGGCCCGTTCCCCGGCGTTTCCTGCCGCTGCCACACGTGCTCAGGATCCCACATGCCTCGCAAGCCGTTCACCAACTGCAGCCTGGCAGATGGAGGAGCTGGGCACAGTTTTGCAGCAGGAGAGACGACAGGAATCCACAGGCTCTGTTTGTTCTCAGGGTGTTCACGGCAGCAAAGGAAGGGGGAGGAGGGCTGGCACGCATCCCTGCAGCGCCGTCTGTGCAAAATGCCCCTCCGCAAAAGGCTCGAGACCTTTCCGTGCCCACTCCCCAGCATGGGGCTAGCTGTAAGCCGTTCTTCAGCTGCAGAAGTGTTTCCACCTGGTGCCGTCCTCTCCAAAGGCGTTTTGGAAAAGGTGCGAGTGTCCTGGGTAGATGGAGACCACCGCTCCTCCCCAGCGGGTGGTACTGATTTGTTCTGGTGGCTTTTTCTGCCGGCAGAGATGGTCGGTCAGCACTAAAAGCAAAAGTCCTCAGGGGGAGCAGAGATTTATTGCCATAGGAAATTAAAAACATACACGTCAGCTTTTGGAGTAGCTCTTGCTTTATCTGTCTGGGGGGGATGAGGGCTCTGTAGCAGGAGGTCTAAAGGTGCTCGGGAAGCTGAAGACACATCCCTTGGCAACGTATCATGGTGGGGCGTGACCAGATGGAGCTGATGTCTCTCTTACCTTGGATGGCAGAGCGTGACCAGTCTGAGCTCTGAGCACAGAAGATAAGTGTCCAAGCCCCAGGAGAATGGATATCTTCATGCCATGCTGGTCAAGACACCATGAAGAGCTGGGTGAGGAGCAGACACCCTCTCTTCTGGACACAGTTGTGGTGGGCTCCTGCTAATGATAAGCATGGGGAGGGTTTCTCCTGGCAAGTCCTGTCACCTTGTGCTGAGCCATCTTCCGCTGACCTAGTGTGGCACTGTGCCATGGTGGTCCCTGGGTACGTGAGGGGATATGCCATTGGGCAGTGGGCAGGCAGGGACATGGCAGGGTGGGACACAGACATGAATGGCAATCTGCTGCCTGTCATGGGGTTGGGGTCAGTGCTGGTCTGTGCCCACTGAGGTGAGTGGCGGGTGTTTTCCAATCGGCGTGACCTGCATCACCAGCCACTGAGCCCAGGATGGGGCTGGGTTTGGGTGATCAGGGAAGGGATGGCTCCTGCGGTCCTGGGGCAGCCAAGCTGTAATTACCAGTGTCAGGGAGAGAGTTACCTGCTGCCGCTGCCAGTTTCCTCTGACCTCTTGCTCTGGTCCAGGGTGATCACTTGTCGTGCCCCGAGCCCAGCGTGGGAGAGCTGCTGTGGGAAGGATGTTATGAGCTGCAGCCTGGAGAAGGCATGTTGTACCTGCTGCTGAGCACATTACTGCTTCTTCGGAGTGGATCAGTCCTGCTTATGAGGACCCTAGTCCTCTTTTATTTAATTTCCTGGTAATGCTTCTGCAGCGTCAAAGTCTTATCAGGAGAGGAGCGGCTTAAGAGCCTGGTAAAGGAGTTTTATTGTCAATATCCAGCTCTTTATTCCCCTCTTCCCTTTAACGCTTGGTGGCAGGATGGTTGTAGCTGAAATGAGGTGTGCTTTCTTTTCCTTTTGTCCGTTTAAGCTGCAAAGATTTCCCTACTAACCTTTTCTGATGGTAATTCAGCTGTGTGAGAGGCTGCTGTTCCTGGGCAGTCATCGGTTGTGGCTCTGGCCGTGGGCTCAGTGAAGGTGAGACACACTCCCACGTTGTACACGAAAGGACAGATCTGGGCACAAAACAGCTTTAACTGGGCAGCTGAAGTCCAGGACTTGTCATCCACTTGGCTGTGACTTGGTGAGCAAACCCCTGCCTCAGTTTCCCCAAAGTTATCACACTGAGGTCCGACACATCTCTGAAGCATCCCAGTGCTCTGAGCCCCACAGTTCATCCTCACATCCATGCACTTTGGAGGCTTGTAGGATGGGGTTGCCGTGGGCAGTTTGGGGGAGATTAAAGGGAGGGGTCTCCTCTGGGTAGCCAGCAACTTGGCAGCCCTGCTCTCTGTCCCTGCAGTCAGCTCCATCTCTGCAAACTGCAGGCGCTCCTGGCCATGCCAGGCATGCGGAGACACGGTGGTACGCTCAGTCCCCTTGTCAGCTGCAGACAACGGCTTTGGAAAACGTTCGTTGGAGAAAATGGGTTGAATCGCGTGATATTTTTTTTTTGTCGTCACTGTTGCTGTTGTTCTTTTAAATGCTCACTGGAGTAGCAGAGCAGCTAATGAGGCGGCGTGTAGCCAGTCGCAGGGGAGACGGTCTCGCCTGCGCTTCCCTGCGGCTGCACTCTCACGGGGATGGAGCCAGCCCTGCACCCTGGGCTGGCGGGGGCTGCACCCCCGCTGGGACTGCTGATGGGTGTGGGACCCTCCCTCGCCCCCTGAGATGCTCGCACCCTTCTGCTCCTCAGCAGCCCCCATCCCTGGATTTCACCCTTTTGTTTCTCCAGCCATGTGCTGCGGCATGAGGGAGGGGAAAGCCATGGATATGCGTCCGGCTGGGCACCGGGGATGGGTCAAGGTGGACCCATCTGGTGCTCAGCGCCCTCCTGGCTCCCATGGGAGACGAGGCAGCAGGGAGAGGGCCAGACCCTGCTCCCTTAAAGGATATCGGGACAGGCTACCTGGGGATCAGGGCCGGCACAGGGCTGGCTTTCCTGGCAGCGCGGTGCTCAAGCCCGCGGCTCTGCGTGTGCTGGTGCAGAGCTGCAAGAAGCTCCTGTCCTCTTCCAGCCCTGCATGCCGTCCCTCTTCCCGCTGCGGCGGGTGCCAACATGCGGTGTTGGGAGCGGGCGGGGGGGTGTCGGAAATGCAGACAGATTGCATTAGATGGATGATGCATCAAATCCTAAACTGATAAGAGACGGAACAATTCATGTGTTGCCAAAAGGCCAGGAAGGATCTTTTTTAAGCAGGCTAAATAGTCTGGACAGGAACAAGCAATGAGCAGCACAAAAACGACGACGCATTTATCACTTTGTTTTTCTGGTCGCAGCCGTGCACGTTGCCATCTGTCTGTGCCGCCTCTGCTGCCACCCCCATGGTGCTGGGATTGCTCCCTAATAGTGACCCTGCCAAGCGGCCTGGAGCCATGGCTGGCATAGCTCTGGGATGTCAAGGGCAGGTTTGGCATGACCTTGCCCTGGGCTGGGTCTTCACAGCTTGCGGTTGTCAGTGCTTTGAAGAGTCTCAGGGCAGGTGGTCGTAGATCCAGCAGCCGTGGCAGAGCCTGCCTTAATCCCGTATTTTAGACTGGTTGAACTTTTTTCCACTTCTCTCTGATGCTGTGTTACATGACATCAAAAAGCCAACCGGTGAGTTTGCTCTTAAACCTCTGCAGTCAGACGGAGAGTCATCTCTACAGCTGTGCCAGGGCTTCCGTCTCCTCTGATCCCCACAGCAGTGGCATCCCTTGGGTAATGGCCAGTCACACCATCAGGTGTTTATCCCACACAGGTTTCTCATCTAATGAAGTGGGTTGCTGGGACAGGGATGGGAGGGTGAGATGCTGGGAGAGGATGCCATGATTTACCCTTAGGGGACATCTGCATGAATGTCCCCCTGCCCGAGCTGCTGCGCTGTGGCAGGGACGGGCACTGGGCAGCACTGCTCTGCAAGGGAGGATGAAGGAGCTGTGGATATCCTGGCAAAGGAGGACGGAGGAGCTATGGATATCCAGCAAGCTGCTGGGAGCAGCAATGCAGGAGGCATGGGGCTGCCCTCCAGGTCACGGAGGGCTTGGGGCAAGCAGGGAGCGTAGACATGATGGGGCGCATTACAACCTGTCCCTCTGCTCTGCAGCGCAGCCATGTGATGCCGGAGGAGCGCGGTGGCGATGATATGGAATGTGGGCAGCTGCCTTCGGACACGCTCCGACAGGTGACGGTCCAGCGCCATCCCCGCTACGGATTTGGCTTCGTGGCCGGCAGCGAGAGACCAGTGGTGGTGCGCTCAGTGGCAGCAGGTAGGGTGTGCCGGGGGGCAGTCCTTGGTGTGCCAGCAAGTACAGCTGCACCTTCCCCTGGTGGGACCCCTCCCTGGGCTCCTGTCCCCTCTGCTGGGCCTGCGCGGAGCCCTCCACAGCTGCATACATGGGCAAACGCCTTGGGGGTGCTTGGGACCCTCCTGCTTCCCCCACAGCCCCAGCATGCCCAGGCTGGCCCTGACCTTCTCTCCTGGCAGGCGGCCCCTCTGAGGATAAACTCCTGCCAGGAGACCAGATCTTGGCCATCAACGATGAGGATGTGAGTGAAGCCCCCAGAGAGAGATTCATCGAGCTCGTCAGGTGAGGACAACACTGGTCCCTCATCACCTCCGGGGAGGGGGCTCGTGCTGGTCTGCTGTGTCCTGAACGGAGCCTTGGGGTGTCAGAGAACACCCTCAGGCTCCACTGTCATTGGTGATCATTGCTGGTGTGGGGAAGCCTCAACCTGAGCAGGGGGAGTGCCTTGGACCAAGTGCCGTATGCATTCCCAGCTGGCTGAGGGGTGGGCAGCACTGGGAGAGCACCCACAGCCCTATTGCACAGCAGCCAAGGTGCCCCCAAAGGTCCTGCCCACATCAGGCTGGGGAGGGGAGGATGTGACCTCTCGATAGCCAAACGTATGTGTTGAGGTCCACTGCCGTGAGGTTCCATCCACCTTCATTTCTCCTTTCTGTCACAGGAAGGCCAAGGACTTCATCATCCTCACGGTCCTGCACACTCACCAGGTGAGACCTGTGGGGCCATGGCCAGCCCCGGGAGAGCAAGGACGGGTGTTAGGAGCCCTCTGGGAGACTGAGGTGGGGTCCCCAGAGGCTCCAGGGGCCACTTGGGCAGCTCAACTGAGGTGTTGGACTGGTGTCTCACAATCCTCGCAGGAAGGAAAATATCCCCAACCCACACAGTTTGCTGAGGGCATCAGGCATGTCTGCTACGTCACCCATCATGCCAGAGGCAGCAGGGAGGGATGTGCTATTGCCATTCCCGGCAAGCTCAGCCAGGGTGTCTGTGGGGAGATAGGAGTGCCAGACCCCGAGCAGTGCAGCTGGCAGTGGAACTGGCACCGGGTGCTGATGGCTGAGGCTCAGCACCCGTGGTGCTTGAGCAGATTGAACCGTCGTGCTGGCAGTAGTGGTGGCAGGGCATCATTTCTGCTTTACTGAGCCCTTTGATGTCGGCGAAGAAGATAGACATGAGAGTTTCCCTGTGCTCCCCTCCCCTCCGGGAAGGAGATGCCACTGCCCAGCACTGAACCATCAGGAGCAGGGTGTGTGTCGGGATCTAAAAAAGCTTTTTTCCTCCTGGCCCTGGATGGCCACCAGCCAGGACACACTGCTCAGCTGGTGCAGTCAGCCTCAGATGCACACAGCTCTGCAGCACGATTGTCTCTGTGCCGGAGCGTGTGCGGGCAGAGGCTCCCCAGCACCCGGCACTGTCACCAGAACGTCCCACAGGGCTGCCCAGGGTCATACAATCACAGAACCATAGAATCTTTTAGGTTGGAAAAGACCTTTAAGATCATCAGGTCCAACTGTTCACCCAGCACTACCAAGTGCACCACTAAACCATGTCCCTGAGCACCTCGTCCACACATCTCTTAAATCCCTCCAGGAATGGTGACTCCCCCACCTCCCTGGGCAGCCCCTTCCAATGCCTGACAGCTCTTTCCATGAAGGAATTTTTCCCAATATCCCATCTAAACCTCCCCTGGCACAACTTGAGGCTGTTTCCTCTTGTCCCATCACTTATCACTTCGGAGCAGAGATCGACCTGCCCTCTCTGCACCCTCCTTTCAGGGAGTTGTAAGGAGCAATAAGGTCTCTCTGAGCCTCCTCTTCTCCAGGCTGAACATCCCCAGCTCTCTCAGCCACTCCTCACAGGACTTGTGCTCCAGACTCTTCCCTATCTGTGGACACACTCCAGCCCCTCAGTGTCTGTCTTGTAGTGAGGGGCCCAAATATGAACCGATGATTCGAGGTGCAGTCTCACCAGTGCCCAGTACAGGGTCCTGCATCTCCCATTTCCCAGCCACCTGGCTCCTCCCCACACCTGCAGACCCACATCCAAGGAGCTCGTCTCTCCCATCCAAACCAGTGCCAGTGCCCCCGAACAAGCCCTGGCTCCATCCCAGTGCCTCCATCCACCCTGTCTGCTAGAGCTCAGCCTGCACAGGGGGTGCTGGGCACATGTGCCTTCAGGGGGGCAGTTTCGTCTGTCCTGCTGAGGGTGCTGGTTGGACTGGTGGGCTGCTGCTCGTCATTCCGGCCCTGCCTGCAGAACTGGATAACCACAGCGAAGGGGACTTGCTTTCCACTCCCCTATGTCATAGTTTGCTCCCCTCTCCCCATGGTCACGCTGGCTTCAGAGATGCTTTCTCTGGGCCCTGTGTCTGGCTTTCCCCATGCCACAGCTCCAAAGGCAGGCAGGTGATTTACCCGGTGCTCTCTTTCCAGTCTCCCAAATCTGCTTTCATCAGCGCAGCCAAGAAGGCGAAGCTAAGGTCCAACCCAGCGAAGGTCCGATTTTCAGAGCAGGTGACAGTCGGCGAGACAGACCCAGTAAGTCCTGCCCTGCCTTCCGCTGTGGTTCACCCCCCTGAGGCATCCCTGGGGCCGTGGGGCATGAGGTGGCTGGGGGCTGCAGGGTTCCTCTCCCCTCATTTGGGCTCCTTTCCCTGTTTTGGCCTTTGTGGGTGAAAGCAGGCTTGGGGAGACCCATAGGGCAGATGTCCTTGGGTGTCGGGTCATTGCTGGGGGGTTATGACATGGTCCTCCCCTGTCCTTCTGTCTTGATAGAGCCCTAGAAACTGTCCCTGGTTCCACCTGAGTCCCCCTGGGCACCCAAGGGTGACATCCAGGCAGTGCCACCTCCTGCCCTAAGGAAGGTCTCTGGCTTCCAACCCAGTGCCAAAGGCTTTGCGGGAGGGCCCGTGTGTGGGGCAGGGTGATCAGCGTGCTGCTGCGTGGGGCAGGAAGCTGTTTTGCTGCAGTAACGGTCCAGCCAAGTGCCATTATCTCTTAATTGCAGAAACATTTTGTTAAGCAGCGTGAAAAAAACCCCAAACACAAAACAAAGCAAAAAAACCAAACAAACCTGTGAAACGCTTCTAGCAAGTTCCATTTTTAAGCAAAATCAACTAATTATCTGATCAAAACACTTCTCACTAAATAAAATCAGCCTTCACCCAACTTCCTGCACAGGGCATGTGTGAGGCTGAGGGGGGCTAGGCTTGGGTTAGGGGTCAGGAAAAGGGGATCAGCTCTGAGCCCCCCCCCGCCACTGCCTCCCGCCTCTGGAACACCAGCTGGGGAATGGGACAAGCTGCCAGGCACGGGCACGGCTCTGGGATGTGCCGGATGGAGCGGGATGCTCCGTTCCCGCTGCAGCTGCTGGGAGCTGGGGAGGTGAATCCATCAGGCAGCTCTGGATTGCTCCAGCTCTGCGCTGCTCCATGGCTCAGTAGAGACACTGCGTTTTCAAGGAAATGTGCCTCTTAGCACATGAGCCCAGTGAAGCGGAGGATGCCGTAACCACTCCATCACTGACACTCATTCTCTCTCCCCACCCTCCCTCTGTCTCTCCGTGCCCCCCATCCTCCTTGCCTCCTCCCCTGCCGACCCTGCGTGCCAGGACATGTTGAAGAAAGAAGCTCTCCTCCTCATTCCCAATGTGCTGAAGGTTTTCCTGGAGAACGGGCAGATCAAATCCTTCACGTTTGATGGCCGAACCACTGTGAAGGTGGGTCCCTCCACTCCCCCCATGGCACCGTGACGCTTCTCCTGCCTGCCTGATCCATTTTTCCTTGTCTCCTGCTTCCTTGCACAAACACTGCAGCAGTGCTTGGCTGGCTGTGAGCTGCCACCGCATGATAGATAGCCCCTCTGCCTCCCTGGGCGACACGCTCTGCAGCTGGCAGTGACGGGGTTTGCTGTCTTTACCACTCCTAACTTTTCTCCTTGCTGTGAGCCTGCCCTTCAGCCAGGATGGATGCTCCTGCCAGTCCCCCTGCCAGGGGCCAGGTCCCTGCAGCCCGTCCCCAAAACTGCTGGTTTTCCTGCTGCAAGGTCACTTTGCCCAGCAGTGGCTAAATAGCATCCTGCAGCCCCTCTTAGCACTGCAGGACCTCATTCTGCACTGGCACGGCCCCACGTGCAGGGAGGAGGGGGTTCTCAATGGGGTGCCAGCTCCCACCCTGCGAAGGAGCCAGTGCCTTGCACCCAAGCCTGTCCATGGCATTTGCAGGACGTGATGGTGACATTGCAGGACCGCCTGTCCCTGAGGCACATCGAGCACTTTGCCCTGGTCCTGGAGTATTCCAGCCCGGAGCAGAGCCACCGGTTCCTTCTTCTCCAGGACAAGCAGCCACTGGCCCACGTAAGCTGCTGGGTGCGGGAGGGCATTGGGACCGCCATGGCTGGTGCCTGGGGCACAGAGAGGGTGTTCTCCCAGCAGCGGGAGGCTTGGTCAAGGTGGTGCCGTGGAGTGGCATCGCCTGTCCTTGCCACTGTCATGGTCCTGCAGGATCCAGGGTGCAAAGGGTGGCCAAAGAGGGAAACAATCAGGGTTTTACCAATCCCACCTGGACAACCCTGGGGAGACGTTCTGTGCTCCACCCTGGGAAGCTGCAGGCAGCATTCATCAACACCCCTGGCCTGCCCAGGGAGCCAGGAAGCTGGCGCTGCCAGGACCAGGGATGGACTGGGGATCATGGAGGAAAGGTTAGCTTTGGTGGCATAAACCCCTGCAGCACCAGGCAAAGCTGTCACACCAGGGAAGGCTGGGCTGTTCCTGGGTTGAAGGGATCAGGTGGTGCATAGAGGAGAGAAATCAAATTCCTCCTCCCTGGGGAGAGGAGAGGGGGTCTCCTGCCCTGTAGGCAAACATACAGGGCTCCTGGGCTCACTGCTCCTCTCTGCTCCTGTCACAGGTTGTGCAGAGGACACACTACCATGGCATGAGATGCCTCTTCCGTGTGAGCTTCTTCCCCAAGGATCCAGTAGAGCTACTACGCCGGGATCCTGCAGCGTTCGAATACCTGTACATCCAGGTAGAGTAATCGCCCCTTGGAACTGGGACCTGATGGTGCTCGTGGCCCTTGCGTCTGTCCAGGCTGGGCCCTGTGAAGGCATCCCCCTGGGTGGCAGGCGCCCTGTCCCTGTGGCTGGCTGTGGACACCTCTCCTCCCTCCTGCAGAGCCGCAATGATGTGATCAGGGAGCGCTTCGGCATGGACCCCAAGCCAGAGATGCTGCTGGTACATCTACATCACCGTCGCAGCCACCCGCCCCAGCCAGAAGGTCTCCCTCAAGAACGTGGAGTGAGTCCTCCTCCCCCTCCCCACACAGCCCTCTGTGTCCCCTCCCTGTGCTCCTGCTCACAGCCTGGGGTGCTCCCAGCAACATTCCGGGGTCCTGAGCTTGAGATGCTCTGGGAGCCCCCCGGCCAGCGGCTCACAGGTTTGGCAGCAGTGACACGCAGCCCCTGGTCCCACCGTGGGCCCTGGTAAGACCCCCACGTGCTCACATACAGCCGCACGCAGCAGCCTTGCCAGGGTTGGCAGGGATATTTGCTGCAAGCCCAGGATCATTTCCATGGGAACACAGGCTGATTTTCCACCTGGCATCCAAGGCAAGGAGAAGGCACTGTGGCTGGATAATCTGTCACCAAGCCGTGCAGCCCTGGCTCAGCTCTCCTGCAGCTCCCAGTAGTCTGTCTGTGCAGGCTGGCCTTGTCTAGTGTGCACAAGGAGGAAGGGGGAAGATGCCACCCTGGGAAGACCCCGAAATAGGTTTGGGGATTTGCCCTTTATCCCTTGACCTTACATGAAGGTGAGTGGGAGCTGGGCTCAGCTGCAGAGACTGGCCCCACTGCGTTCCCCAGCATGGTGCTGGTGGCTGT